TTTTTCGAGACGGGGTTTCTCTGTGTAGCCCTGGCTGTCCTGGAACTCACTCTGTAGACCAGGCTGGCCTCGAACTCAGAAATCCATCTGCCTCTGCCTCCCAAGTGCTGGGATTAAAGGCGTGCGCCACCACCGCCCGGCCAGCTAGTCTGTTTTATAATAAGGATATTCTTTTAAAATTTTTTTTTTTTTTTTTGGTTTTTCGAGACAGGGTTTGTCTGAGTAGCCCTGGCTGTCCTGGAACTCACTCTGTAGACCAGGCTAGCCTCGAACTCTCAAACTCAGAAATCCGCCTGCCTCTGCCTCCCAAGTGCTGGGATTAAAGGCGTGCGCCACCACCGCCCGGCTTAAAATTTTTTAAATGCTGAAAATTTTGATTTCAAAGTTAATACAAGATCTTATGAAAATGTTGTAGAGTTCTTACATCTTACCTCACAAAAACAGAAAGAAACTGCTGGGATTCCAGAATATGCAAGGAAAGGGAATGCAGCATTGTCAAAGGAAAGTTTCTCACTGCAAAGGAAAGAACCATCTTTACCAAGAATTCTAAAATGTAGTCCTGCTGTGCCATACCCCTTCCCTGATAACCAGACCCTCCAGGCAGAGCTAGGCACCCTTGGGGTAGGATTACATTTGTCTTCTACAATGTCTTTTCTCAACTTACACTTTGTTAATCCAATTGCTGTCTCGATAGAGAGCTTTTCCATCAATTGGATGCTTTACCTGTATGAGAAATACATCATAAAAACTTAATTTTTCTATACTTATTTAGGCTAGTTTCTCTACAAATACTTAAGAGTTGTATACAGCTACATGGTCAGTCCCTTAGGAAGGGTGCTTGAGTGTTTACAGGCAGTGAGACTAAAATTCTCCCCAGCAATCATTGGCAGTCTTTCTGCTTTCTCCCTTGTGAGAAAGGCTTCCTTAACTGACATCTTATAGGCCCATAAGCATAATTTTTAAATCCTCTCTAACCTACACAAATGTCCCTGTCTCCTTGCTGCTCACTTATCTGTAGACTTCCAGACTAACCAGCAAGCATACAACTAGTTTGGGACCTAACGTAACTTACCGATTCCCACTGAAATGATCTACAGACTTCCCATCTAGTTATTTGTTTCCCTCCATCTTTAGTGACTCCAACACACTGAAGGATTCAATATTCTCTTCAATATATTCCTTCCTCTTTCAAAACTGATCATGTTTGCCTTTTCTAGAAGGTATTTCCTCTGGTGTTATTCAAGTCCTTCTAAACCTTCCTGCAGCATTCGACTTACACTCTTCCTGTAAGTTCAGGTCCCAGGGCAATAATCCTAATGATGTATTCCTCAGTTCAGTGGACTGAGGATCTTCAATAAGTCAAGAACATGACTAATTTGCTATAGAATTTACTTTCTGGTTACTGTTGAGTGTTTTATCTTTTGACCTCCCCCCTCCCCCCCAAAAAAGGGCATACTCACATCCTGCATTATCTTCCCCATAAGTGTGTATAATAAGGGGCTGGCAGAAACTTTGAAGTTGCGAGTACCTGTAAAAAAAATTTTAAACATTTTTCTCTTTTTAGACAACAATATTCTTAAACAATTCTATAATTAAAACTATCTGACAAAGAAATGATACCAATCCCAGCACTCAGGAGGCAGAAGTAGGAGGGTTGTTTCAATAGTTGAATTTTACCAAAGACTTTTACTGAAGCCAGATGTTGGGGTGAAAGCCTGCTACTTCCTCAGAGAGGCAGAGAAAACACCCACCTGACCTTCCTCCATAGCCAAGGAAGGTCAAAAAGAATATCTCCCCCCCCCACTATCTCAAAAACCCCTCAAACTGAATGCCCCTCCCTTCTATTACCTGTGCACCTCTCTCTGTTCTGACTTCCTGTTTTTTTCCTATGTTCACCCTCCGTAAACTGCTTGTTCTACCTCTTTACCTATAGCTGACATCATTTAATCATATTTACAATATTTAAGCAGACAGCTCTTAGATTAATAGTGTGTGCTAGAGCTTAGCCATACCACAACCAGAAATAGGTTTTTCTAGTAACTAACAATCTTAAAACAAAACAAAGAAGAAATCCACTCTGCTTCCAAAGATTAAACTAAAAAACTGAAACCTGGGTGTAGTGGTGCATGCCTTTAGTTCCAGCACTCTGGAGGCAGAAGGTGAATCTTTGTAGCCTGGTCTTCAAAGCTATACAAGAGAAACCTGTCCCAAAAAAAGATCTGGGGTATGTAGCCTCACTACAATTATCAATGTTGACATTATTTAGGGGATAAATTCTATAGTTTGATGAAATTAGACTCAGTTATGTATACTACAAAATATACAAATATAACATTTTGTTATATTTTTTATAACAAATATAAAAAATAACAAGTGCTGCTTTTGAGTCTGCTGTTCCCTATACAGTTGATCTGAATTAAAAAAACAAAAACAAAAAAACAGATGCTTACCAAGGACAACTTTATCCAGATTAATGTAAGTGAAAGCTTTTAAATGCAGAGATGAAAGGTACCCCTAGAAGAGAGGACACATTATTAATATACGTATGAGCTAGTGTTTATTGGAGATCCACTTTGAAATCTGGATTCATTGAGACATACTACACCAAGGCAAAAATGGTATAGAGCTGTAGGACAGCTTAACTTGGAGGACACAGACTAACACATCCTAGACAGACTATGTAATACCTCCAGCCACTCAGTGGCACCAACAGCTCCAAAGTCTCCTGCAGTCCAGCTGGCAAAGATAATACTTCTACTGGGTCTAAATCCATCTGCAAGACAAGAAATTAGTTTTATCTTGGGAGAAGTTAAAGGCAAACATCCTTCTTTCTTTTTTTTTTTTTGGGGGGGGGGGGTTTCGAGACAGGGTTTCTCTGTGTAGCCCTGGCTGTCCTGGAACTCACTCGGTAGACCAGGCTGGCCTCGAAACTCAGAAATCCGCCTGCCTCTGCCTCCCAAGTGCTGGGATTAAAGGTGTGTGCCACCACCGCCCGGCTATACCTAAGTTTTAAGAAGTATCTGGAGTACTTTGTGACAACTCCTTTAAGCAGTACATGTGCCACAGCCTACCAACTGCCCTGATTTTTCTACAACATATTTTGTATAAAATCAGCACTTTAGACCTCAATTAAAATATAAGATACTGGGTTTATATTGTGCGTGCCAAGTACCATGAGAAAAGTCTTAGAAATAGAATTATAATAGTTGTTAGGTCTTGGAACATTTTCTATACATGTTAAACTAAGAATATGGTTTAGCTTTATGCTAATAAATAAATACTTCAGTTTTTTTCAAAGAATCAGGATTGTTAGCTCGATGAAGAAACTTCATGGAGAAAAATTCAGTCACGAGTTAGTAAAGATTAAAGAATCTGCCAGCTGGGCAGTGGTGGCACACGCCTTTAGTCCCAGCACTTGGGAGGCAGATTTCTGAGTTTGAGGCCAACCTGGTCTACAGAGTGAGTTCCAGGACAGCCAGGGCTACAAAGAGAAACCCTCTCTCAAAAAACCAAAAGAATCTGCCATAAGAGAATGTAACATAGCAGGCAGTGGTGACTCACACCTTTAATCCCAGTACTTGGGACTTAAAACAGGAGAGAATTTAAGATTTCTATGGCCATACCACCCCAAATGTGCCTGATCTTGTCTGATCAGAATTTAAGAAGATTACAGTAAAACTGAGCAAGAAGACAGAATATAACTGATAGAATGACATGGAGCTCACAAGTATTTTTTTCTACTGTACCTTTTGAAATCATATCTGAGAATACTTGGGTAAGTTTCAACAGAAGACCTGTTCCCACACTGGACTTCGCAACACCAGGGCCCCAAGCGTCTCTCTGGGCTCCTACTACAACGTAACGGTCTATAAGAAAAAAAGGCAACAGACCATCATAGCGTTTGTTTTTTGAAACAAGGTCTCACTAAGTATCAGCATCCAACTCAGGATCTCCTACCTGGGCTTCCTAGCACTGGGATTATAGGTGTGCTACTTATAAAGTCCAGCTTTTTGTCCTGTTAATAAATGTGACTATTAGATGTGTCCTACACACTAATTACTGAATGCTAGTTATGCTTGTTTAATGCTATGGACAGAACTGGTATGTGATCCTGTAAGAAAACCACTTATCTAAGCAACAAAAAGTTTATATGGGGGAGACAGCTCAGTGGATAAGGGTGTTTGCAACCAGGCATTGCAAACAATTTAGGTTCAAGACCCACCTGGACAAAATTCCTACAATCTGTTCATTGACCTCTACATGTAAAATTTTAAATGATTACAGGAAGATATTTAATGCTGAACTCTGGCCTCTCCATAGACTTACATGGCCATATCTATGTGCTGTATACACATACATACATACAAAGTTCACATTAGGACAAACAAGATTTAGCAGTTCATGCCAAGCTAGCATCCTTCCTCCTTCCTGCACTAGACCTATCTACAGTAAGCAAACGGTAAAACAAAAAAGTGCCAAGCAAGGTCTTTACCTGGTTCCTCATAACCTTTAATAACTCCAAAGATGTTAAGTATTCTTGTTTCTTTTAGTATGTTTTTCACAGTGAGCTTCACATTGAGATTCTGGGGAAGTTCCAGCTTACACGATGAATCTATATTCCACCTAGAAGGACAGTTTCCTTCCATGTTTCTAGAAATAGAAAAAATAGGTATTAGCATTTTGTGCTACTATTTTTTTCCTTTGGTTTATAATTACAGAGACAGGTGCTAGGTAGCCCCAGGGCTTCACAAAATCCTCACAGAGATGTTCTTTGTGACTATATTATTATATATTCTAGTTTTCCAATTAAATTCAAGAAAAGAGAGGGCTTAGAATAAACAAATGTTTAAAAATGGGTTTAAATTAGATAAGGTTTTGTTTTTCAAGACAGGGTGTTTATGTGTAGCCATAGTTGCCCTGAACTCACTCTGTAGACCAGGCTGGCTTCAAGAAATCTAGCTTCCTCTGCCTCCCAAGTGCTAGGATTGAAGTTCTAAATTAGATAATCTTATAACGAGGGAGAGAAGATACAATTTAATGATACACTTTGAGAAAGGATCTCACAGCCCTGGCTGGCTGGGAACCTGCTGTTTGGCTGGCCCTGAGCTCCGTTATCCACTTGCTTCAGCATCCTGAGTGCTGTGACTGAAAGTACACACCACCATGCCCAGCTCAGGTACTTGTACACGACAAAGAACAACCAGAATAATTATTACCATAAAGCAACTGGAAACTGTCACTAGAATAATTTTGTGCTGCCAAAAATCAAAATTTGGAACTAATAGTTAGTTATTACACCATTAGCTGTCAGTTCAACAAGAATTCCAACTTATTTCTTACAGTAACTGAGTGGATTGTCAAAGGAAATCAAGTGTTTCACTTTAACACAGGTAGTATTCAAAGCAAAACCACCACAGTAGGAATGCACTGAGTAAACAAGGTTACAGCCCCTTATCAAAATCACTTATTTATAGAGAAAAATCTCATTAAAAAATTTATATAAGTTAGCAATTAACTACTCCCAATTTTCCCAATGTGAACATTATTATAGCCAACTGTCATCTTTATTAAATAAACTTAGGTTTTCCCTTGCATAATCACACCCTCGCCAAGAGCTCTCAGAAACAAACTTACTTAAATAGCTTTTCCGCAGCAGCTCTTGAGATTGTTTGCACGGGTATATCAGGCAATCCCGAGGACTGGGATGGTGGGAACTGAGTATGGTTGAAAGAAGGAAAGCCGGGTGTGTATGGATCACCAGTTCCTAGATGAGCCTAGTAAACAGATATTAATAATTAGTCCTATCGAGTACTTACTAAAGGAGTTGTTTATGAGACTTAGATACGGTGTGATGCTATAACCCAAACTATTTAGAAATCTAAAGATTTTCTCAAAAAGAAATCTAAAGACCATTTCTATAAAATGAAGCTTAAAAAATAAAATTAGTGCATCCAAAAAAATTTCAATTTGAGGTACTATTAATAAACACTCAGCAACTGCCTTCTTACTTCTCGCTAAACATCTTCTGAAAGAATTTAAGAATATCTAGAGAAATCATTGACTCCAGAAATAACTCACATGTCCAAAGAGTGAAAGGTCTGCCTCAACAACAGGGAATTTATTCACGTCCATGTATATGAGGACACCAATTGCATTAAAGCTTTGGGCATTTGCAACCTATAATAAAAAAGGCCACAAAAATGCATGATATGAAAATCAGTTCATATAAAATGAAAATAACACATACTACAGAGAAATCTTCTCCACAGAAGAGCACACCAACTAATTACATAATACTCTCAGGTCAGCCCTGAAAACATACATACAACATACTGACTAAGCAGTTTATATTTATATATTTTAAGCACAGACACAACAAAAATGAGATTATAAATAAGTAGTAAGGGCTGGAGAGATGGCTCAGCGGTTAAGAGCACTGACTGCTCTTCCAGAGGTCCTGAGTTCAAATCCCAGCAACCACATGGTGGTTCACAACCATCCATAATGAGATTGATGCCCTCTTCTGGTGTGTCTGAAGACAGCTACAGTGTACTCATAAATAAAATAAAATTTAAAAAAAAAAAAAAATAAGTAGTAAGTAAGAAAAAGCATACAGGTAGGTTTAAAAGGACAGGAAGAAGGGAAATAGTTACAATATAATTACAAAAATAAGAAACAGTTTTTAATAATCCATACTTACCTTTTCTGCAATAGTAATTTCCCCTGCTCTAACAATCACTAAAGATCCATTCACAGAATTTAATTCTTCAAAGTCCTTTTTAGTGCCAAAATTAGCATGGACCAGTTTACCCTAAAGTAAAGATATTAAGTTTAATGAGGATCATGGTATCAAAACTGCTATAGAATCTGAAAGACAAGACAATTCATAAGAAAAAAAACCTGAAGCTTGGTAGTGGTGGTGGCATAGGCCTCTCATCCTAGTACTTGGGAGGCAAAGGCATTTGGATCTCTGAGTTTGAGGCCAGCCTGTTCAACAGAGGGAGTTAAACAGAAAAAAAAGGGGGGGGGGGGCCGGGGAGGGGGGAGAGGCATGGCAAAATCAAATTCCAAACTTTTGACAATTCTAAAGTAAGCAGTGTTACTGAAATCTAAGCCAGGAAGTGATGGTGTCTTTAAAAAAATAAAAAATAATAAAAAAAAATATCTAAGACTTCTGGTCTCATAAGTTCTACATCTCATTCTGCCTTTAAATTGCCTCAACTATATCTAGGGAAAGGATAACAGAATAAACAGAAACATAGATCAGGCATGTAAGCACTAATTACATATTTCCACATCTGAATCTAAAGCAGCTGAAAACACAGAAACTGTGTGCATGCATGTGGCTTATATGGAGGTCAAAGGACAACCTATATATCTTATTTGTCATTAGAAAGAAACCTAAATTGAGGAAATGTCCCTTGTTGGCATGGCTTCAGGGCATTCTCTTGATCTGTGACTGGCTTTTAGGTGGGAACACACTTGTGCTTAAGAGTGATGCAATGGGCAAGGCCTTGAGAATAAGGAGAGCAACGGGATTTAGGGCAGAGGTTCTCAACCTGTGGATCTCCGACCCCTTCATAAGGGACCATTGGAAAGCAGAATTTATACCACACTTAGGCATTAAATAGCAACAAAAGTAATTTCATGGTTAGGGATCACCACAGTGAAAAACTATATTAAAGGATCACAATATTAAAGAGATTGAAAACCGCTGATTTAGGGTCTTACAAAACAAAATCAGGACCTTAAAACTCATTGTAAGGTCATAGAGGTCCAAGAATAAGAACTTCATAACCGGGCTGGAAAGATGGCTCAGAGGTTAACAGCACTGACTGCTCTTGCAAAGGTCCTGAGTTCAATTCCCAGCAACCACATGGTGGCTCACACACAATCATCTGTAATGGATCTGATATCCTCTTCTGGTGTGTCTGAAGAGAGTGACAGTGTACTCACACACATTAAATAAGTAAATAATAAATCTTAAAAAAAAAAAGAACTTCATAACCAGTTAATTTATACCTGGATATCTAACTTCCTTAGTTGAGACACTGAAAAAGTCAATTCATTATTGTTACTTACAGTAACTTCTGCAGCTTTACTAAATGCCACATAACCTTCAGGAGACTCCACTAGGTCATCGCTACCATCTGAACGCACTATGATCACCATGTTTTGAGCAGCACTAAAAGATAAAAAAGTTAAAGCCATCCTTGAAGAGAAATCCAAGTTAGTATACTAGCATTTAACTTGTTGTATTGATTAGCTTAAGAAAATCGATCGCTAAATCTGAACCTTGATTTTCATTTTGAAAGTCATCTACTGACCATCTTAAGACAGTTGCCTCTATAAAATGAGCTATTTCATCATACCTGCTTTTCACTTGAATCTTCACATAATGTTCATCTCGCCAGACTTTGCTTAATTTAAATTCATGGAACTGATCTTCAATATAATAGGCAAGATTTTCATCTTTTTGAGATCCAGCCTCACGAGGAATGTATGTATTCTGGCTCAGCTGCCTGGAATAAAAGTCTTGTTTGAGACAAGGTTTCTATGTAGCCCTGGCTGTCCTGGAACTTGTTCTAAAGACCAGGCTGTTCTAGTCAGAAATCCTCCTGCCTCTGCCTCCCATGAGTGCTTGGATTGAAGGTGTGCAGCACCACCATCCAACTAAAAAAGGTCTGCATTAAAATGTCTATTTTAAATAAACATATACTTCAAGGACCAAGCAAATTTTAAATACACTACCCTTCAAGGTCAAGATAAATGAAGTATGACTCAAAACTTCTGGATTAACCAGTTACAGAGGGAAATAAAATGTACCACTGCCTTAGTATTAACAGTAATAGTATTGGTGAACCCAAGAGGTATTGCACTGGCACACACAAATACAAATCAAGAAGAGAGCTAGAGGGTTGTAACGGCTCTGGGTTCTAACAATTTTTAGTCTTGTAGAAGACCCACTCTGGATTCCACCACCTACATGTTGGCTCACAATTATCCATAAGGATTCTGTAGGCACCAGGCATAGGTGTAGTGCACTTCATTCATTCATATATGCAGGCTACGCTCATAATACATAAAACTTAAACCTAGGTTTTAATTAAAAGAAATTTTAAAAGGGAATACTAGAACAGAAATCTAATATCCCACAATAAACTACAACTGACAAAAAATGATTTTGAGGAAAAAGGAGGTTCTCCATATAAGCCTTAATTTCCAGTCAGCATAATTCCACATTGTCGCTCTTCTTCCTCCCGCCACCTCTCCCGCTCCTCTCTCCTGTCCTCCTCCTTAAATAAACCACTTCCCGTGGGGGGGGGGGGGATAATAATTCCACATTGTCAGGAGGACCCTCTGCAAGCCTTTCAAGTCTCCCTACCCACTCAAAAACCTGTTTACATCAGGACTCAACTTGGGAAGTTGAGCTTACTTGATGGTGTCAGTGAACTCTAAGGACTTCAGTTTCTCTGACAACAGTGTTTTGAGGTCTGCCCAATATAAGCGAGAAGATTTAGGAACATCTTCTGTTTCGATGTTTTCTGACTGGTCTGTCTCCTCCGTTTCAGCCAGTTTTACACACTCGTCTTTTTGTTCTACACGCTTACAATAGCTCAGGTAGCCGATCATAAATCCTAAAAAAAAACCAGGAAGTTTTAGAGTTAAACTCAGAGTTCATTTTTAAATTATCCCTGAGAACTTTTAATTAAATTCTAAGGATTTAATAGAAAATTATGAATCTCAGTTTAATGGAATTTAAATTACAACAAAAAGTCACATTTTACAATGAACCGTTGAAGACATAGGTGCACACCTTGTCTTACTGGAAGCCTTTCTTTGCACTGTTCCAAATGTCCTATGTATATTTCTAATAATATCCATAATTTAAATGTTTCCTTTCTTGCAGGACTTAATTTGATGGCAGGTAAAGAATCCCAGTGCTGCCGGGCGGTGGTAGCGCACGCCTTTAATCCCAGCACTTGGGAGGCAGAGGCAGGTGAATTTCTGCGTTCGAGATCAGCCTGGTCTACAGAGTGAGTTCCAGGACAGCCAGAGCTACACAGAGAAACCCTGTCTCGAAACAAAACAACAAAACAAAACAAAAGAATCCCAGTGCCTAGCACAGTTCCATTTAAAAGTACAAAGTATTTCTTCATCTGAATGAAGTAAGAGTTCTAAGAACTAGTTAGTCATAAGAAATTCTTTTGAATGACCATTCATTCTTACCAATCAAGAAAAAGATGACCACTGCAATAGTCGCAAAGCAGACTCTTCCATTAAACCTTTTGGGTTTTCTGACACTAGGCTTCATGTTATTGTCAACATTTTCTTCCTCATCTGCAGCCAGTTTCATCTCCACATGACTGTTATCTCCATCTACTTGCCGAGCAAGGCTAAACCGGGTGTATGACAATGGTTCCCCACCAAACTGGTATTTTAAGAGAAAAGAGATACAAATATTAAGACATTACAGTAGTTTGGTCATTATATTATATGCATACTATGATATACATTCATATGGGAAGTTACCCTTTCAAACTGATACTCTTCTCTGTGCCCAGTTCTGTTAATGGCAGATGAAGGCTAACAGTCTTTCATTCTGCCTTTCTAGAGTTTCTATTCTTTGTTTCCTATAAAATTTTATTTATTTATTTATTTATTTATTTATTTTGGTTTTTCAAGACAGGGTTTGTCTGTGTAGCCCTGTCTGTCCTGGAACTCACTCTCTAGACCAGGCAAATTTTAAATTTATAATAATTATTTTTTAAAATATGTATTTATCTTATGTATGAGTACACTATTCCTGTCTTCAAACACACCAGAAGAAAGCATCAAATCCCATTACAGATGGTTGAGCCACCATGTGGTTGCTGGAAATTGAACTCAGGACCTCTGGAAGGGCAGTCAGTGCTCTTAACTGCTGAGCCACCTCTCCAGCCCTATAATTCTTTTTTTAAAGAGAAGGGTTTATTCCACCACATTGCTCAGACTGGTCCTGACTGAGGATTCCTCCTGAATCAGCCTCTACTGTAGCCAGTACCATTGGCACACATTTTAGTTCTACCTTGTTATAACTTCTCCAAAACAGCCAAAGCTACCCTATTTTTCATAAGTATTTCCTATAATTCCCATAATTAATCTTTTTTAAGACTTATTTATTTATTATATAAGTACACTGTGCCTTTTTTAACAGATTTATTTATTTATTTAATTTATGAGTACACTGTAGCTGTCTTCAGACACACCAGAAGAGGGCATTAGATCCCATTACAGATGGTTGTAAGCTACTATGTGGTTGCTGGGAATTGAACTCAGGACCTCTGGAAGAGCAGGCAGTGCTCTTAACCTCTAAGCCATCCCTCTAGCCCCATAATTAATCCTAACAGAATATTTGTTTTGGGATATTGTAATATCTGCCTATAATCATCAACACTTTGGGAAAAAAGTAAGATTGAATTCAAGGTCAACCTGAGGCAATAAAGACCTTGTCTCAAAGAAAAACCTAGTACATCTTTTGTGGGTTCTGTTTTGCCTTAAAACCATTAGTTCAGATGTAAAAAAAAGGCTGATCAAAAGTTGGGATATCATCTTGTACTCAGTGGGTAAAGTCATGTTTTCAGTTTGTTTTGTTTTGATAGTACATTTTTTTCAAATAGATGAAAGTACCTTACCAAGTTAGAGAATGCTGATCTGGCTTGATCCATCATTCTCAGCTGCTACAAGGGAGTACCTGATATTAGAACAGAGAATATAATGAAACATATCACTGATTGTTGTCAGATTACTGAGGGCTTACCATGGGATGTTCATTATAATATATCAAACTTACTCCAATATAGTCACCTTTCTAAAAAAGTTCTGTGTTGCTTGAACCAGAATCTCATTAGACATTCTGGCTGGCCATGAACTGAGATCCCAGGGTGTCACCTTCCCAGCACTAAGAACTATACCATAACCTGTCTGCTAGACATTAAAATGTTTAATTTACTGATAACCAATTCAGTGTGATCCTTGCCTGGATGCTTAACTGGTGGGACAGCAGAGGGAAAGCTACAAAGGACAAACCTGAGCCTTGAGACAAAGATATCTGAACATGGATAATGCTATTTTATGTTAGATTCAGAGTGTGATAATTTGTTCTTAGGTTAAAAGTTGAATTAAGAATCATGATATCAACTGGGCAGTGATGGTGATGCCTTTAATCCTAGCACTTGAGAGGCAGGTAATTCTGAAGCCAGCCAGCCAGAACTACAAAACAAATAAAAACCAAACCAAACCAAACCCCAAAGTAGAGAAAACTAATTAGGATACCATCACTGTTAAGCATGTTTAATCAAAAGAAAAACTATAGGGTGGTAAGCCCTTTGAATTTTCTAAAGTTCCCCAAGCTGGTCATGTTCACTCTGCCTCTTTTCCTCCCAAGTACTAGAATAAAATGGCCAGTGGGCACCACTCTGTCCAAATAAATGCTTCAACTTAGTATCCACAGGGACTAATTCAAAGACAAACTATCCAGAAACTAGGAGAATTAAGACTGTTATTCTACAAAACACTCAGGTCTGGTGATACTAGTGCATTTGGCAGGATGATTTAATTCTAAGTCTATTCATTAGTGTTTTTGAATCTCCATGCTTTAATGACTAAAGTCACATGCCAGATCATACATGTTCTCAGAAGCCCAATCTCTTGTCCCTTCTGTTAGTTTTATCACTACCACTGCACCAGAAACAGACTCAATCGCTAGAGCCAGAACTAGATGGCCCCACCCTGAGCCAATTTTAATCATATTCTAGGAAAAAAACAGCTTACACTTTAATGCTTGTCTGAAATAGCTATTTCTAAAATATTCTAGTTTCCCAAACTACTAGTTGATAATTAGTAATAAATAACAGTAATAAAATAATGATTGAACAATTTTGAACCTAAAGAGGTGCTGGTATTAATGTCTAAATTTGGCTTTCTAACCCAATTACATTTATTGTTTTCTGAGAAAAAAGTTATTTCTATTTTAATTCATAGAACTAAAATTAAGAATAACAAAAAATCCCAGCACTTGGGAGGCAGAGGCAGGCGGATTTCTGAGTTCGAG